GCCATGGATGGAGCACAGTTTTCATTCACCAGGGCCTTCTGCTATCCTATTTCTGCTTTGGGGCTAGTCAGCCATGGCAGGAAACAGTGAGTCAAAGTACACCTCTCCTCCTTTATGTTGTAGGTGTTGGATATTTTATGTGACCAGTGAGAAAGCGTCTAAAATTGGGTGGTTGTAGAATAATCATGGATTGAGTTGCAGAGTGGGTGGCTGAACTGGAATCTTTTCTATTTGTGTCCTGGAGAATCACTCTGCACCTCTATGTTCTCATTTCCAAGTTTGTGAGAACAGTTTCTGTGTCACAGAGGTGTACTGTTTATTCAATTTGATAATGAGTATGGAAATGACTTTGGAACCTCAAAAATGATATACAAGATTGGTGCTAATATTGTTTAGACAAGATATCATGCCTATATCCTGTATTCTTATTAACTAACACTAAGATAGCAATATGCAATGTATTAACTATTGTTTAACTGTCCTACTAATCTGTTTGAAACTCAGTTTCATTGTTTTTTTCTTTTAAAAATGATATACAATTAGGAATTGGGATTATAATGGTGCTGAATATTGGAAACTTTTTTAGAATAAGCAATGAGTTTGAGGTTTTCTGTAAATTTTCAATCCATTAATAACAGGCACCTTGAATTATTATGCAGAGCTAATGATGGCAATAGTATTCCTTAAATAAAAATGGCTACTTCTCTGGGTAAAATGTGAACCTTGAAGACTATAAATAAATAATTCCTCTTTATTCTCAAAAATATCAAGGAGAATTATAAATATTTTTAATTCAGGGCAATTGCTAGACAGTGAAAAATGCTAGGCTGCATTCTGAAAAAGGAAAAGGAAAATCAGTTATTGTCAGCTTGCTCAGGGGGCCCAAGGGAGATTTTTGCAGGGGAAGTCCCCAGGTTCAAGGACACCCATGTGCAAGACATCGGCAACAGCAGCAGGCAGCATGAAGCAGAGCAGCACAAGAGTGTAAGAGCCACCTGCATCTTTACTGTATAATCCTCATACAGGTGGTTATCTCATATTTACACTCTTGGATAGTGTTGTAACCAGCACATGCGTGTTTGCCTGTGCTAAGTCATGGTTACATGACTGTCTTTCACTGGGCACCTGTACTAGACAAGGAGGGTCATGTCCTCAGATGTCCTTAGATGCCTCTGAGCTTTGAAGCAGTCTGAGTGGGTTCCCACAGTTTGTTAGAGTAAGAGACATAGTAATAGAAACATTAAGCATTCTGAAAGACTTAGTATATTTTTAAAGCCATTGGCCATAATTCAGTTCAAACAGACAGAGAACAGTGGTGTTGGTTACTGATCAGACCACCTGCTAATAGTTAAATGGAAAATCTTTTTCCATTCTATAGATTTTCTCTTCATTCTGTTTATTGTTTGCTTTGCTATGCAGAAGATTTTTAATTACATATGAGCTCATTTATTGATTCTTGATGTTATTTCTTATAATTGGAGTTCTGTTCAGAAAGTCCTTGCCTATACATGTGACTCCAAAAGTTTTACCTATTTACTTCCAGCAAGTTAGTTGTTTCTGTTTTAACATTTAGTTCTTTGGTCTTTAACATTTAGTTCTTTTAACATTTAGTTTTTTGGTTCATTTAGGACAAGGTGAGCAGTATGGGTCTAGATTCAATCTTCTGGGTATGGATAACCACACCATTTAACAAAAAGGCCATCTTTCTTCCAGTGTGTTTTTGGCTCCTTTGTCAAAGATCAAATAGTTGAATGGGTTTCTGAATCTTTACCAAGAAATCAAATAATAACAAATGCTGGCAAGGCAAGAGGGAAAAAAGGAATGCTTCTACATTGTTGGTGGGGATGTAAAGTAGTAGAACCATTATGGAAATCAGTATGGTGATTCCTCAAAAATTGAAACTAGAAATTCTATTTGACCCAGCTGTTCCACTTCTGTTTTCCTCTACCCCAAAGAATTAAAGACATCATATTACAGTGTTACTTGCATACCCATGTTTATACCAGTACAACTCATAACTAAATTTTGGAAGCAGACTATCTGTCTACCAACAGATGAATGGAGAAAGAAAATGTATTTTCACACAATGGATCAATACTCTGCCATAAAGAATGATAAACAAATAATTTCTCGGCAAATGAACGCACCTTGAGACCATAATCTTAAGTGAAATTAATCAGACACAGAAGTTGAAACATCACATGACTTCCTTTATATGAGAAACCCAAAATATAAATAAAGATAAAAATAAAAGATAAATAATAGGAAGTAGAGAGACAGCAATTTCTTAAACAGGAAGAGGATCAAGAGATGGATGGAGGAGGAGGGAGGGAAAGAAGGAAGGGAAGTAAAAAAGAATTAAGTTATATTATGTACGTGTACCAACTACCCACAAAGAATGTAAACATTATGTATCAGCGTGTACTAACAAAAATTATAAAAGCAATGAGAGGTTCACTGGAAGGGAAGGAGGATGGGGTGCACTCATTAATAACTAATGACGAGGCAGAAACTATTAGCACCCCCGAGAAACGTCTTATGCAAGATTACAAACTTCACAAAGGGTAGGGAATTATATAAATGCATGGATAAACACGTAAACATATGAATACAGGTCTGAAAATTCAGGCTGCCCCACAGGAATGTTTGTTTCAGCTCAAGAGGGGAGAAAGTAAAATATGAGTTGTGAAGATGACTTACATCACCAGCTTTCTTCATTATAAGGAAGGAGCGATCTGCCCTAGTTTTATTTAAGTACGATTTCTAAAGGAGGTGCATCAAGGTTGGGTATCTCTAGATTAATGGAATAAATTCACCTCTGGACGGTTCACAGAGTACTGTTTCTTATGCTGACTCTCATGGCTTGGGGCTTTCCATTATGGAACTGGAGATTAAAGATGAGGGCTTACTTGACAAATACTGATTTTCTACTTCTGCAGGGAACTGTTTTAGGTGTGAGGTTACAACAGTACATAAAAAGACTAGGAGTTGGTTTCCCAGCATCTTGTCCCATTCATGCACTCATTCATTCATTCCTCCATTCATGGAGCCTGTTTGGATTCAGCGCTGACCCCAAGTTAAAGCCTAGGCCCCAAGCGGCAAGGTCAGACAGCGTTCTAGAACTGACTGCTTTTCACATGCTCACGCCAGGCAAATTACGTCCTATAATGATTCCTGTGATGACAGACAAGGAGGCTGAGGTTCAGAAATGCTTACTCAGCTTGCCTAATATTACAGAGCTGATTGGCGGCAGCCTGAGACCATATCCTTCACTCTTATTCTTTCCGCTGTATCATTTACTGATTCCGGAGTTGGTGATAGGAAATAATGATTGGAGAGAACTGTGGGGGCCTATGCGCTTGGTGGCTAAGATTCCATACACTGAATTCATGGGGGCAGAAGTAAGAAGAAAGGCAAAGGGTTGGTCACTGGTGTCCTACATTTATCAAATATTGAATACTGAATTGATTTATGTACTGGGACTATTGATTTATATACTGAAATATTGAATTGATTTATAAACTGGACCTTGTTTAGTTCTTTCACTATCCCTATGAAATAGAGACTCTGACTTTACAAATAAGGAGTTCACTCTTTTACTTAAAAATGTTTTTAACTACAGAAAACCCGACAAGCTGATTACAGTGGATGAAACTAATAGGAATTCTGTTTTCTCACATAACCAGTTTGGAATTGACTCAGGAGCTCAGCAATGTCAGGCTTGACATCTACGCAAGCTTTTAGCCTTTTCCTCATAGTGATGAGATGGATGCCACAGCTTCAACAGTCAGGTCTTCATTCAAGGCAGGAGGAAGGGGAAAGAGTAGCAATAGATTCATGTGAGGTTTTTCCTTTGCAGTTGGGAAGGTAAAGCACTCTCCAGAGGGCCCCCACCCAGAAAACTCCAGAATATTGTCATATGATTACATCAACTTGCAAAGGGTGCTTAGAAAAATGAATATTTAGTTTTCCAACAATTATGATGGAGATGGGAGAAAAATATAGAGAGATTAGAGGCTTCTGTAGGAGGAACAAATGGCCACCCTGTTCCCACTGTTGGCTGGCTGAGGTATTGCAGAAGCTGCAGGCCTACCTGGCACTGCCATCCCGGGGTGGTTGACACTGGTGGGGTGTCCTTGGGGGAGGTAATGCCTGTTCCAGAGACACAAGTGACAAGTCTATTAACTGCCTTTGTCTGCTACCTTTCTCGAGGATGGGGACCCCTTACACCCTTTGGGGATACAGGACAGGTTGTCTTGGTGGTGCTTTCTACCTGGGAAGAAAAGGATGCAAGACATATGCAGCTCTTAGAAGGGAGCAAAGAAAAACACTTTGCCCAGGGGATATCTGGGCACCCCTCTGATCATTCCTTCATTGACAGAGGGTGTTAGGATGAACTCCTTGGAAATCAGCAGCAGTCTAAACTTATTCAAGCAGGGACTTCGTCCCAAGCTCACACGTGAGTCAGCAATTTCCTGGGAGGGCGACCTCCGTGGGTCACCTTCCAGCACGTCTCTCTCCCCTACTTTCACCAGTCACAGAAAAGACTCTTTAATTCTAGGGGCCTGTAAGTTGGGGTTACCTTTTCTTTTCTGATAAGACCATAAAATGTGGACAAGAGAAAAGGTTTGTATTTCAGGCATGACCACCTCTCTTCTGCCAATTGAAGGAGTCTGAGGTGGATAAGCAAAGAATAGACTGTATCCCAAACTTCCATCGTAATCCTTGATGCACCAATACAGTCTGAAGTGGGCAGTGTTGGACAGGGTGTAGCGAGGAGATGAGATTTAAATAGTGTTTAGGTCCGAGTTTTGAATTGATCTGGACTTTTAATAAAATGTCTGGAAAATTATGGTCTCTGCCAAAGCGATCCCTGAAAGACTCCAAAGGACACTGTAAACAGTCTAACTGAAGAAATGATTGCGGACAAATGTCTTAGGTCTTCTTGTTATATCTCATGGAAACCATACTCCTGGTAATAGGTGTTTGTTGTCTGACAGAGTTGTTGCAAAACCAAGTGACACCTGTAGATGGCGCTGTGACTCTTTCCAGAACCATGTCATATTGAATTTGGAGGAATGGTGGACCAGCAGTTGCCAAATCTGGATGGATCGCCTCTAATCACCTGGTGAGCCTCTAAAGCTATAGACTTCTGCCCTACGGAAACTTACTAGAAGTTCCAGTTCAGGAGGTTGGCAGTGGGTCCTGGTGACAGGGATGCCACCATAGATTGTTTGAGAATCACTGTAGAAGAAGGCTTATCTCTCATCCTGGAGCCACTACGCCCCATATAGGTACCATCTGCCTGGAGAGTTTGCAGAGAAGTGAGTCTAATTCTCCTGGAGAAGCAGCATTGGTTATTTGTCTCTTTTCTGGACATCAACTACCTTTCTCAAAACTTTATATGTTCATTATAGGGGCTTACCTGTTGGAGTTACCTCTTCTTTTCAGGTAAAACCATAACACTGGTGCTTTGGATGAGAATGGAAAACCTTATATACTGAGATGGCCCAGGCATGTTCTCCGTCCTTAAATTAAACTTCAAATTGCTAATCTGTGCAATTCCTGCTTCCACCTAGAAGACAATGTGAGACAATAGATAAAACATTTGTTTTTGTGTGGGTAGGACCTTCTGAGAAAAGATTATGTGAGCTAGAGGACAAGTGTGGACGTTAAAGGGTAATTTAAAGCCAAGAGAACTCCACAGGCTCTCTGCGTTAACATTTTGAAGGAGGACAAAATCCTTACTGGGAAGCTCCTGTTTGTCTTATCTACCTTGAGGAATGAGACATTTAGTTACATTCTGAAAGATACAAATTCAGTCATCTTGCCCTTCACATCCAAAAAGGACTCTGTTAAGGAGAAGAGATTAGATTTATTTTCTGTCTTTGGAGTAGAGTGGAGGGGGCAATGTGTATCTATAATCTCCCAGGTTTGTATTTTTGGGTTTCTCTCCTGTAGTATGAGAAACTCCCTTCGTCTTGGGGGTGGACTCCCATTTAAGGAGAAGGGGTCTGAGCAACTATTTGAAAGTAACAGTATGCAATACAATGACCATTGTTAACTTCCTATCATGTTGTTTTGAAATTCTGCATCATTTTTATAGTTTTTTTAAAACAATCTCTTTAACATAAAAAAATAAAGGGCTGAGATAAAGGGATCTAGGAAGTATATGGGACAAAGTCGTTAGGTGAGATGAAAGATGGAAAATAGTCATTTTTTAAAGTCAAAAGAAGGGGGAACTTTAACATGAAGAATGGGCACAGCTAGTCCTCTCAGTAATAATTAGTGCCTTGATCTAGAAAGTGCATGCTTGCACTTGAAATAGTTTAAATAAATGGAGATATTAAAATTTCTCAACTTGGAGACTAGAGAGTCAGGGCTTTGAGAGCGGTATGTTGTGTTCATTGGTGGGGCAAGCAGCAGAGTGGTTGCCTGACCACGGCTGAGTGTCTTCACTCACAATGGTGCAGTGTCTGATGAGGGAGTGAGGAGGCAGAGCAGGGAAATAGGCTGCTTAGTTTAAAAAAAATATTCAGTCAGAAAAGAAATAAACAGCCATACAGACTCTAACCACTGTCTTTCTTTGTCTTCTTTAGTACTTTATGTTTGGTGTATCTGTGATTCATGGGTATGCTGGCAACTCTTCACAACCAACTCTCTAGGGTGGGGGAAAGCCCTGATATGCAGTGTTTGCCAATACCTGTAGTGTAAATGCTGCTGCCAAAGGAAAACACAAGCCAAAGCACCTGCTCAGGATCACTCAGTGACAACGTCAAGGCAAGCACCTGGACATCTTGACGCTCACTCCTGCTTCCTGCCTTTCCATGCAGTTCTTCAAAGTGTATTAGCACAGGAAAAAGAACCATAGCACGGTATTCATTGAAAAATGCCGAGAAGAAAAATGAACATACCTGGAGCCCATTAACAAGCATCCTTTTGTTTTGAACAATAATCTATGTAAGGAAAAACATCATTTATCAATATCTTAACTTTTCTATAGCTGCTTAGTATTTCCTGAGCAAAAAATCTTCATTTTATTTTATAGAAAAAGGCAAAACAAAATTTCATAACAAGATGATAAGGGAATACCAATAGTTAATACATTGCATGTTATTATCTTTAAAGTAGTCACTCAGAGTATAAGGGCATAAGAATTTCTCCAATTGATATTAGCACAAATCTTCCTTTTCTATAAACTAAGAGTCGCAATAGTCTAACTAACTTGCATTTCTTCTCTTTTCCCTTCTTTCCTTTCCCCTTTCTGTCATCCTAGTTCCTTTTTCCTTTTTAACAATTTCTTCCCATTTCACAATATCTATTGTACATTTTAGACTTTATTTACTCTTTCAATTTCTCACACCAGGGAGACAATACAGTGTTTACATATGCGAGTCTGATTTATTTCACTAATGAATATGGTCTCAACTTGCATCCATTTACCTATAAAAGTCTTAAGCTTATCCTTTTTTATAGTTCAATTGTACTCCATTGTATGAAAAGACCACATTTTTTCATCCATTCCTCAGTTGATGGGCATTAGAGTTGTTTCCAGGATTTTGCTATTATACATTGTACTGCTGTAAATATGGGTGCATGTATATCGTTTTGGTATGATGTTTTTAATTCTTCTGGAAAAATACCCAGAAGGGGGATAGGTGGGTCGAAAGGCATCTCTAATGACAGATTTCCATAGTGGTTGCACTAGTATACACTCCCACCAACAGTGGAGAAGGGTTTCTTTTTCCCCACAGCCCCTTTAGCATTTGTTACTTGTTGATTTCTTGATGACAGCCATTTTTAATGGGGTGAGGTGGGATCTCAGCATTGTTTTAATTTGCATCTCCTGAATGACTAGTGATGCTGAACATTTTTTTGTATATTTGTTTGCTGTTTGTATTTATTCATTTGAGAAGTATATGTTCGTCTCAAATGCCCATTTTTGGACTGGGTCTTTAAATTTGGAGGAATCTATTTTTTAAAAATTCTTTACATGTTCTAGACAGAAATCCTTTGTCTGAGGGACAACTGGCTAAAATTTTTCTCACTCTGTTGGTGATTTCTTTTGATGTGCAAAAGCTCTTTAATAAGATAAGGTTCCAGTTGTTGATTCTTTGAAGTATTTCCCGTGTAGTGTGGGTTTGTTCATAAACTCTCTGCCTCACCTATGTCATCAAGATTTCTACATACTTTCTCTTCCAGTAGATTTAGTATTTCTGTGGTCATATCTAGATCTGTGATCCATTTTGACTTTGGTTTAGTGCATGGAGCAGACATGGGTCTAATTTTAGTCTTTGGCATATAGAGAGCTAGGTTTTCCAGCACCGCTTATTAAAGATACTATTTTTCTTCCAGTGAACATATTTGGTCACTTTGTAAAAGATAAGTTGGCTGACTGTGTTTGGAGTTGTGTCTGTATCTTCTAATCTGTTCCACTGATCCTCAGGTCTGTTTTTTGCTGGTACCATGCTGATTTTATCACAGTTGCTCTGTAGAATAATTTCAAGTCAGGAATTGTAATGCTTACTGCCTGGACTTTGTTGCCTAAAATTACTTTTGCTATTCTAGGCCTCCTCTGTTTCTGAATGAATTCTGGGAATATTTTCTCTAGTTCTTTAAGGTATGTTAATGGTGTTTTGATCAGGATTGCATTAAATCTGTATAACAGTTTGGGGAGTATGGGCATTTTCACAGTGTTGATTCTTCCTATGCATGAGGAAGGAAACTATCTTTCCATTTTCTGATATTCTCTTTAATCTCCTTTCTCAGAATACTGTAATTTTCCATGTATAGATCTTTTAATTCTTTTGTTAGATTGATTCCTAAGAATTTCAGTTTTCGGATGCTGTCATAAAGGGTGTAGTTTCTCTAATTTCTCTCTCAGTGTGTTTGTTATTGTGTACAGGAATGCTATTGATTTTCAAGTGTTGACTTTGTATCCAGCTATGCTACTAAATTTGGTTACTAAATCTAGAAAGTGTTTTGGTGGAGTTTGTGGGATCTTTTATGTAGAGTGTCATGTCATTTGTGAATAATGATAATTTTACTTCTTCCTTTCTATCCTTATTTCTTTTATTTCTCTTTTTTGTCTAATTACTTTGGCTAATGTTTCCAGAACTATATTGAATAGGATGATGATAGTGGATATCCTTGTCTTGTTCCTTATTTTAAAGTGAAAGTTTTCCATTTTTTGTCCATTTAGCATGATGTTGGCTGTCCATTTGTCATAGATGGCTTTTTTTTTTTTTGATTAAGGTAAAGACCATCTATTCCAGTTTTCTGTAGGGTTTTTATCATGAATCCTTGGACTTTTTCAAAAGCTTTTTCTGCATATATTGAGAGGATCATGTGATTTTTGTCTTTGGCTCTTTGTCTTTGCTCATGACGTATTATCTTGATGATTTGCTGCATTCCATTTAAAAGTATCTTATTGAGGATTTTTACATCTATTTTCATTAGGAAGATTGACCTGTAACTCTCTTTTTGGATGGATCTTTCCCTGGTTTTGGTGTTAGGATAGTACTTGCCTCCAGGAATGACTTAGTATTGCTTCCCTTTCAATTTCATTAAAGAACTTGAGGAGTATTGGCATTAAATCTTCTATAAATTTCTTACAATATTCAGCATTGAATCCATCAGGACCTGGTCTTTGTTGGCAAGTTTTTAATTATACTTTCAGTTTCATTAAGTGATATTGGGTTATTCAGAATTTTTATATCTTCTTGATTCAGCTTTGATTATCCATACATATCTAGGAATTTGTCTATTTTTTCTGTTTTCCCTCTGATGAGAGTAATGATTTTGAAGTAAGTATTGATGATCTTCTAAATTTCCACAGGATATGTAGAGATTTTACCCTTTTCACTCCTCAGTGCATGTGAATTTGAGTCTTTTCTTTTCTTTCTTTTTGATAAGGTTCACTAAGGATTTATCAGTTCTATGTGTTCTTTCTGTATGTCAGATTCTGTTACCATTTTTGGAAAATTTTCATCTATTACTTCTGCAAATAGTCTTTTTATGTCATTTGTGTTCACTTCTGCATTTTCATGGACACCTATCAATCTTCTATTGTTTTTCATTGCATTGCCTTGCAGCTGTTGAATTGTTATTTCTTGATCTCTTGTTATTTTTAAGAGATCTTTCCTTTCTCAGTTGCTACCTGTAATCCTGTTTTCAAGGTCTAAAGGTCTATCTTCAGTTTTGTTCAAGCAATTTTGCCAGCCTTCAGTGGAATTTTTAATTTCCTGAATATCTATTTGAGTTTGTTTCATGCGTTCTACTTCTTTCCTATATTGATCTTTCACAATTTACTTCACTTTCCTATTATCCTCTATTTTGTTTTTGTTTATCTTTACATTTACTGAGCATTTCCTTTAGGATTGTTTTCATTTTTCTTCCTGAGAGATTATTTCTGATCTGATTTCCTCTATGGATTTATTTCTTTACTTTCATTGCTATCATTTCAGAAATTTCAGATGTGCTTCTTTCATTTTTCTCTACCTTGTTATCTCTTGGACTTTTTCTGTGTGGGCTGGAGGTCTGAGATTACATCTTCCTTCTGCATTTTGTCATTTTCTATTTCAAAAATTTTTATTTTGTTTTCTGTGTTTATTCTTGACAGGTTTTGTAGTAGATAGCTATCACTAGTATCTATCACCAGTATCACCCTACACTAGTATCAAATCCTTTCTAGGAAAAATCTGTTTTTCAGGGAGTCTTCTTTGTATAGGAGGTTCTTGGCTTGTGTGTGTCCCAAATCCTACCTCTCCAGTTTGCTAAGAATGAGATGTTTGTATCATTTTTCTCAGTCCCCAGTCTTTTGGTGTTGGCCTGTGGTGAGGTTATTACCCTAGAGCTTCCCTGTATTGTTATAAAGGGAGAACAACTGGTTACAACAAATGTGACATCCTAGGTAACATAGTAAAATTAGCAATAATGAGCATCAAGCACAATTTAGAAACCGACAAAGTGTAGTAGCTATTAATTTTGTACCTTAAACCATAGGAGCAAAATCTACAATTATATAACAGAACCAACTGTAAATTGTGAGATTGTATCCAAAGTGTTTCCCTTTGACAGAATGGTTTTACTCTGTGGTGGGGAGAGTTAAGAAGGATAGTGAATGAAACAAAGATAACTGAAAAGGGAGTATAAACAAGGCTGAAGGACAAAAGATGATCATCAAAAGTTTGGGAAACTAGAGTACAAGGCAGAAGAGAAAGAGTGAAGGAGTAAGCAAGGGATTACCTGAAGTTGGTCTCTGGGTTTAGGGGACGGGATTATTTTTCTGTGGCTGAAGTTCTCTCCAACTGTTTAGAAAAGAGGAAAAAATAGGAAAGAAGAAAAGAGAAAAGAAGAAAGAAAAAGAAAGGAAAAAAGAGAGAGAGAGAGAGAAAAAGGGTGGTCCCACCCCTCCTGCTTCAATTCCTGTGTGTGTTTGTCCCCAAGCACAACAGTGGTTCACCTAACATACCACCTATTGGCTCATATTGTTATTGTTGCTTTGGGCTTTTTCAGGCTGCTAGTCCGGTCTGTCCATCCTGTGCACTCTAGTTGGGGCCCTACCATGTTCCTGGCATTCCCTCTGGTCTCTGCGTCTTCCTATGTGTTTCACCTTGGTTGCAGCAGCAGCAATGGGAGGGGCCACTCTCCACCAAAAATATTTAACTTAAAATATATTTTAAAATTTTACTTTTAGCTTTAATTGCCAACCCAGTGCCTCCATTGTGAAAAACTTGATTTCCCTTTCTTTTCTCTTTTCTTTCGTTCTTTTTCTCATTTCAAGTTTATTAAAGCTCTACAAGTACAAGTTATCCAAGATTATCAAAAGATCTTTCCTTCTCCAGATCAGAAGTAACTGATGAGCTCAGGATTGGTTGCCGGGTCTACAAGACAACTTCAGATAAAGGATGATTTCCACTAGATATCAAATTAACATGGATTATGTGTCCTGTCCACGGAAGGATCCTTTGAAGTGTCACCAAATACAAAGCAAATGTGATGGATCTGTGAAGTTAAAACAATGGTGAGAACTCCCAGTGGGTGAAAGTAAAGAGGAGAAATGGCAGCTCAGAATGGGAGAAAGTAGCCATGGAGATGCAGGAAGTTCTTTTGCTGTGGTTGCTTTTTGTTCCACATTTTTTTGTTGCTATAAATCAGAAAAAGGGGTAGCAGAATTCAGCCAGGTTGTGGATTATAGCAAAATGATGCTCCATTCAGCTAGGGTGGGAGCAGGAAACAAGTAGGGGCAAAGGTCCTCTCCATTCTTCTCTATAGAGTGAAGATATGCACAGGTTATAAAACTGTACTGCCAGGGAGGTGCTGCGAAGGCCCTTCTGAGTTGAACTAGGTCTTTCAAAATTTACATATGGAAGTCATGTCCTCTAATATCTTGGAATGTGGCCTTTTTTGGAAATGGGATCATTGCAGATGTAATTCATTGAGGTTGCTGGATAAAGGTAGCCCCCCACCCAATATGATCTGTGCCCTTATTAACAGAGGAAATCTGGACAGAGACACACAGACAGAGTGTGCGGAGATGAAGGTGGAAATGAAAGCAATCTTCTACAAGCCAAGGAATGGTACATATTGCAGCAAAGCACCAGCAGCCAGGCGAGAGGAATGGAATGATCTTCCTCACAGCTCTTGGAGGGAACCTACTCTCCTGACACCTTCACCTCCAGGACTACAGTACAGTACTTGTTTAAGTCACTCACCTTGTTTTATCTTGTAAAAAAAAAAAAGCAGCTATAATGAAGGCGGACGTTGCCTGGTAGAAGTGGCAAATGGAAGACATAGGAAAAATGTAAAAGTGAGCAGAAGTTCAGTGTGCTGGGGCACAGTCCTCTCTTCAACTTACAGGAGGGCAATGCCGGGTGGAGTTTTTCCTCTCCTGGCCCACATTACCTGGGGAAACAATTCCTATTTCCAGAGGGAGAAATATGAGGCATCTGACAGCTCTACCAATAGTAAAAAACAACAAACAAGAAACAAAAATCAAAAACAAACAAGCAAACAAATGGAAATAACCAATGCCAGATGAAGAAGAAGGGGTGCAACAAATAAAGAATTTTAAATAGATACAGTATATCTAGGAAGTCAAGGAAAGAAGTCAAGGAAATATATAATACCAAGTTCAGGACATTTGTAAAGAAAAACCAAGTTGAAAGTTAGGAGATAAGATCCATAATATGAGAGAGAACCCAATGGATGAGATTTTACAAGAATCTATCAAGAAAAAAGAAAAAAAAGAGTAAAAGGAGTGCAGAGAATTTTAAGATCATTTTCTTTTTTTGGAGAAGAAGTAGTTAATGCTAACTTTAAGAAATTCATAGAGCACAGAGAAAAATAACTATAACAATAGGACTTAGGAATTAAAGCTAAACTCTAAAAATGAAACGAATGACTTTCAACTGAAGATAATTTGATAGCAGATAAATAAAAATATTTATAATTGAGGAACATTTTATTTGAACACAAATAAAATGCACAAAAATTAACTAGGTATTGCCCAAATCAGTGATCTAAAGGAGGATTAATTATATAGTCATATAATTAATGGATTGAAAATCTGATATATTTATGCTTAATGCTTTCAGAAACTTGTGCTAGTACGATTCTAACCTTCATGGAAAGACACACACCTTACATACCTAAATCCTACAACAAAATTGTCTTTCATGGAGAAATCTTTGATCATTTTCATTAAGATCAGGAAAAAATGTAACACTGTCATTGCTACTCTGAACTTGATTTTGGAGGTCTTGGGTGCTACTACAAAGAGAAAAAGAAATAAAAGCTGCAAAATGGAAAGGGAAGAAAAGAGTGACAGTAAGTGAAGATGTTATGATAATCTTCACAAAAGTGTGAATAGTCACAAACTGCTGGAATTATCACTAGTATTAGCAGAGACTATATAAAACCATAATCGTGTTCCTCTATATCAGCAACAAGTGAGAAAATATAATGGAAAATAACACATCAGTCACAGAAGAATAAATCTTTGACATATTTAAGACTTTACTTAGCAAAGAACACATAAGAACGTTTTTTGTTTTTGACAGGTATTGACCCAGGGCCTCGCAAATGTTAAGTGCAAGCTTTGCTACTGAGCTACACCCCAACCCCATGTAGCAGTTTTACAGAGAGTAACTTAAAGTTTTATGGAAAGAAATAGACGAAGAACTGAACACATGAATATACCATTATGTTATGCCATATACTTTGCCAATTTCTTCACTTTTAGGCACTTTAATCACTTTTATTGAAAGAAAAGAAGAGAAAACCAAAATCCTATGTAACCATTTTTTTAGACATATAATCCTGGTTGATTTTATTCCTTTGAGGATTTTTACCCAATAAACATCTTTTGAACTCCAGCTGTGTGCCAGGAAATGTTCACAGTGAATTACAGGTCAAGCCTCGTTGAATCTGCCTAAGGACCTCTCCGGTAGGAGCTGTCAGGTCCCTGTGCACGGGTGATGAATTGAGGCATGGAAAGCTTACCTGCTTTGATCATGGTCATGCAGCAGTATGCAGAGTGAGAACGGAAGCCAAGGTGTCTTTTTTCTTTCTTTCTTTCTTTTTTTTTTTTTTGGTTTTTCTCCGGTACCAGGAACAGAACTCATGACCTTGCGCTTGCCAGGCAGGCACTTTGCCACTGAGCTAAATCCCCAGCCCCGAAGCCGAGGTGTCTTAGTTACTTTTCTCATTGCAGAGACAAAATATCCAATACTCAAAATTAAGGAAGGAAAGGTTTATTTAGCTGACAGTTTGAAGAGGTCTCAGTCCATGATCAGCTGGCTCCAAGACAGGCTGGCACTGCAGGAAAGAAACAGGTTATGGCAGGCAGAAGATAGTAAAGTGACACAGGACAGCCACAGATCTTTGCGTCCCTTACAGCTTATCCAGGCTTGCTTGGGGCAGGTAGTACTCACACCTTTAATCCTGATGCCCTTGATCCTAGCACTGCACCATGAGTCAATCCTAGCAACACTCTAGAACCAACCACCTCTGAAAAAGCCCCATCTATGATCATCTGAGGCTTTAGGGAGAGAAGGAATGACATCTAGACAGAGGTGGCTGGATCTAGAGTGTGCAATGTTGGGATTAAGGTTGTGAGCTTATGAAATTAGTCCACTGATTGATTTGGCATAGTTCTGAGTGTGGGTAATGGGTGTGTAGCCTGGATATAATATAAGGGACAGAAAGAGGGCTGGTGTTGTTGCTTGTCACTGTTTCTTGTTACTTTGCTGATTTGCTACCTTCTGCCTGCTATGAACTATTCTCCCCTGTGTTGCCCTTCTGCCATGCCACGCTTCCTTGGAGTCAGCCAACTATGGACTAAAACTTCTACAAACTGTGAGTCAGGTAAACCTTCCCTTCTTTAATTTGGGGTGTCACTGTTTTGTCTCAGCAACAAGATAAGCACCTAAGACAGATTCCAACTGTGACAGCATTAAAGCAACACCTAGAAGGGAAGTCCTCACTAGTTATTATAGAAGTTACAAAACTAAACAAGGAATGCTTCTTTCCTTTGAGAACTTACCTGCTAAGGAAAAATATGAAGTAGAAAATATGAAGTATTTCAGGAATTTTAAAAAATGATCTAAAAGAATCCATTGAGAAAACTTTATTCTCTCTGATTAGAGATTGGCTTCCCAGAGATGGTGGTACACAATCCAGGGCCTTGAACATGTCAAGGGGAATTCAAGAGATAGGATCAATATGATCCAGGCTTAGCTACAGCAAACAGCAGGGTGTTTAAATCAGAAGTAAGAAGGGTGGCTGGAGATGAAAAACTGAGCAGGAAAGGATACAGGAGTCTGAGATGTAGCTTCATAGATGGGAGAGTTATAGCTTTATGGTTCCATAGACTTCAGAAGAAAACACTGTAAATATAAGAAGAGTATTAAATACGGAGCCAGAAGCTTCAGGAACCTTCTGAAATTGGTGGTCAAAATGTGAATGTGTGTGTGTGTGTGTGTGTGTGTGTGTATATGTGTGTGTGTGTGGTTACTGTGTGCCATTTCTGGAAGGTTTACGATCCCTAGCTGACCATCAGTTCTTTATGGAAAGGAAGAAATACCGTACCTAGAACAAGGATGCACCCATCTTATGAATTTCAGAGGTGAAGTAGCATTGGAGAAGGAGACTAGAAAGAAGTGGTCAGAAGAAACACGAACATCTGCTATTAGAGAGAGCAAAGAGAAAGGTTACTTAAAGCACCGGCCATGGTCAATATGCCTAGTGGAGACAAGTGCTGAACAAGCACGTATGCTTTCCTGGATATGATCACTTGTGCTCCCTTGGGTTGTCAGGCAATCTTTTGCAGGCTGTAATGCATGCTTTAGGCGATTAGGAATAGTCAAATTAATCTGAAAACCAAACTCCATTGAAAAATGGTCCACAAGATGGCACTGTGGGCCAACAGGAATTTTCATCTGGTCTTCAGGTGTAAAATGTGTTTTCATTCCCCTTGGTTTTCTTTATCCTTTGCTAATATACTGCAGACTGACTTCCTACATTATTTATCTATTAAAAATGTGAGCATTTGGAAATAACATTCCTAATTTTCATGATTCCTGCTTACTCTTCATGTAATCCTCAGCAGACTTTGGAAAACCTTCATTTAAATATCAGTTCTAATCCAGGAGGTTGAATCTAATTCCTAATTTACTAAAAGCTTTCATGAGTCTGTGTACAGTCACTGCTGGCATTTGTTGGTCCCTGGGGACTTTGAGGTGGGAAAGACAGGAGGGAAATAAAGGGAAGGAGAGAAAGGGCTCTATGTTTGATCAGAAAAGCAAAGAACACAAGCTTCAGCCACAGCCAGTGTGGCAAGGGAATAAAGCAGCTGGAAAATCCATACAGATGTAATGTTGTTTCCAAGGAAAAGAATCTCATTATCCTAAAGTGTGTATTGGTTGGTGTTTTCCTAGAAATCTTCTTTATTTATTATTATGCAGAAAGAGCAGCAAATGACTTAAATTGGGCATCACAAAGAGGAGTAAAATATCACATGGTCAAAGGAAATCATAGTACAATTTATAATTATGTGGCACTGAACTAGTTTACAGTGTTTTTATACTTCTGTCATCTTGTTTGAGTCTCAAAAGCATCCTGTAGGTGGGCAGAGTAACCAACCCCAGCAGAGAAGCCTCATCTTCTCCTTTGGAGCTGGGTCTTTCTCCCTACTCCCTGCATGTTATGGTTTAAATCTAAATGTCCCCCAAATGTCTCATGTGTTTGAATTGTAATTGGATCATAGGGGTGCTATACTCATCAGTGGATCCATCCATGGATGAGTTCAGTAGCTAAAGGTGCTGTCAGGAAGTGGGATCAGTTGGAGGCGTGTCACTGAAAGGGTGTATTATTGTTGCCTCCTCCTCCTCCTCCTCTCTCTCTGCTTCCTGGCTACCATGGGATGAGAAATTGTTCTCTAGCAAGTCCTTCCACCATGTTGATCATCTTAATGTGAGATAACTATGGACTGAAGCCATTGAAATCTGTGAGCTGAAGAAACCTTTCCTCCCTTAAATTCTGGTTGTTGAGTATTTTGTCCCAGGGATGGGAAAGTGAGTAGCGCACTACGCTTCTTGATCTGGCAGCTTAACCTCTGAAGCCACCCTGAAGAAAGTGACTGCAGGACCTGGTGCTGGAAGTGTCTCTGGGAACCACTTAGCTTGACATCTGAGCTGATTATTAGTGTGGAGGAGAGGGCATCTAAACCAATGGCTGCAAGGAAAGATGAGGATATCATACCTAGGCAGGGCTCTGAGTACCATACCAGCCTGGGAACCCTCTGAGCCTCAGACTAGGTGAACCAGTCAGTGTCTCATCAATGTCCTGGAGGTCTCAGCACACAGCTCCACACACCTTCCTGAAAGGGAAGAGCAAGAGCAGCAGGCACAATTCAAATGCAAGCTTCTGCAGTCTGCCTGACACAGCAAGGCTGTGCATGAGCCACAGGTTACTTATTTTCTGGAAGGATAAATGAGGGCAT